AAAAAAAAAAAAAAAGATCTTAAAAAAAAAAAGTTACCGAATCAGAGTTTTTAATGCTAGAAAGGTCCTGAGAGATCTTTTCCAACCTTTTCTGCTCCGAAACTTGCCCAGTAGCACCATCCCAGGGGAATAGCGGCCTCCTGCCCCCGCCCCTCCGCCGGCCCCTTCTCCCACAGTACTGTACTTGTTTCTCCTCCTTATACGTACATTCACTTTTGTTCATTCTCAAAGCTAATTTTTCGGTCCTTAAAGGGCAGTTTTATAGAAGATAGTTCCTCCACAAATGGGACCTAACCCAAGCTTGAAATGAGACACTCTTGGTCATGAGCAGACCTCTGCCTGGGTCCTGGAGGGTTCTAGGGATTTCTATGCCTTCTGGCACAGATTTGCCCACTCATATTCTCAGGAATATTTGAAATTGGATCCTTGAAGTGTGTCTTTCCCCTGTTGCGGGTAAGGGGGAGGACCATCCCAGATGAAAATAATTGTAATTTTTCAAGTATCAACGTGAATTTTCTATTGTACATCACAAACCTGCAAATGAGGAGAAAAGCCGGTTTCACCATATGTTCCTGGCAACACGTCCCCTGGCAGATTGTTCGTGAATCAGAAACACGAACCAGAGTGAACATCTCTGCTTTTCTTCCTCTGTGCAGCTATAAGGCTGGATGGAATACAAGTGTTTGGCTACACTGCCTGGTCCCTCCTGGATGGCTTTGAATGGCAGGATGCTTACACCACTCGCCGAGGATTATTTTATGTGGATTTGAATAGCAAGCAAAAAGAAAGAAAGCCCAAGTCTTCGGCACATTACTATAAACAGATCATCCAGGAAAATGGTTTTACTTTCAAAGAGTCCACCCCGGATGTGCGGGGTCAGTTTCCCTGCGACTTCTCGTGGGGCATCACCGAGTCTGTCCTTAAGGTGAGTGACTGCTTACAAAGTAACTATAAACGGGTGCAGACAGGACATAGTATTTAATTCATGGACTCAATGACAGCTGTCAGGCAAGAGCAAATATGATTACTTGGAGGTTCTGGAGGGGAGTTGGGGAAAGAGGAAGGAAGATGAGAATTAGTGCTTACCCAGAGCCTCTCATGTACCAGAACTTATCCTGAGTTCTGAGATGAGAGCCTGCCCTCAAGAATTATACGGTCTAGAGGGAACTTAACAGTCCTTTTTGAAAGAGGCATTTGGTCAGTAGCATCAAAATTATAAAATCGTTTTATAGATTTTGTTTTGCCAAAAGCCAATTATTAGTGGCCCTTGATTTAAGTGGTTCCTGTTATTTGATAGGTTTGAATGATTTGCCTTATGAGGTCTCTATATCCTCGTGGGGTCTCCCATGCTCATTCGTCACCTACATCACATTGCCACCTTCTCAATAAGGCTTCTCTCCACTCCAAAAAAGAATCACAATCCTCTCATTCCCCTTTCTTCCTTTGTCCCCCCTATATATCCTATTCATCACTAGCTAATATACCACTGTGTACTTTACACATTTTTATTTTTTTCTCTAGCTTTATTGAGAGATCACTGACATACAACATTGTGTAAGTTTAAGGTGGACAACATGGTGACTTGATACGTTTATATATTGCAAGACAATTACCACCATAACAAAATTCCCATTTCTTTCCGTGGTGAGAACATTTAAGATCTATTCTCTTAGCAACGTTAAAGTGTGTAATACTGTATCATTAGCTATAATCACCATGCTGTACATCCGATCCTCAGAACTTAATTTTATCACTGTAAGTTTGTACCCTTTGACCAATATCTCCCCATCTGCCCCACCCCCAGCCCCTGGTAACTGCTTTACGGATTTTTCTCATTGACCATGTTTTCCCCTTACTAGAATGCAAGCTTGCTCCGCGCAAGGGTGGAGAGGTTTGAGGCTTTGCTCCCTGCTGAGTGCCTTCCTAGGGCAGCGTGGCCAGCTGAGCACCAGCCATGTACCATGCAAAGTGAAGTTGTTAAGGTCAACTTCTGGAGCCAGATGAGCTGTTAGAGACCTCCTATTCCAAATCCTTCGTTTTACAGATTAGGAAAATGAGACCCATCGTTCATAATTGAGACCTAAGTGACTTGTCCAAGGTAACATAAATAGTGGCAAGACTGTAACAGGCAGCCCGCAAGCCCCCATATTTACAGTGCTCTTTTCAAAATAATAGCAACTCATTTTTTAAGCCCTTATTTATGTGCCAAGCATATAGCTGTTGTATATATGCACATTCTCTCTCCTAAATCTTAAAACCCTCATTTTACAAGCAAGGAAACTGAGGCTTAGGGAGGTTTCCTAATTTGTTCAGGGTACCCAGATCTGTCCGTTTCCTGACACCACGATAAGACCTCACAATACCACACTATGGCCTGTATTCTAGAAGCATATGGAAAGACAGCAAGATCTACAAGGGATGGACCAGACAAAAGGGCTCAAACCATGAGTGAACACAGTTCACAGGTCATGAATCTCAATCCCTGTTGATACTTAAACATGATTTAGAAAAGGCTCAGAGATAATAACGGTGGAAAAGATACAGAGTAACCTAAATACAGAACTGATTCATCTTCAACTTGTGTCCCCTGTAAAGCCAACTACTTACCCAGTTCCTATCTCCTCCACATGGCAAAGGCAGGCCATCTTTTCCCTACCGCTTCAAATGGGTTTATATTTTCTTTAATTCCACACCGAGAAAAGAAAGATCCCAGGAGAGATAAGAGTTCCTGCCTGTACATGACCCAACCTGTAAGTTTCTACTTCATCTGAAGACCTCTTTGTGCCCCAGTGATTGACACTGTGAATGTCTACCCCATTGGGGGACCCTATCCCTACTCTGAGGAGCAAGAGTGAATCAGTTGGGTCAGGGGGGAGCAATTCTGTGATCAACAAGTTCTGAGTTTCATGCTTTTGCCCGGAGCCCAGTGAGGCATCAGCCTCCCTTGAACTTGGACTAAGAGTGAGGATGAATTATTTGTCAAGGAAAATTAGAGTGCTTTTTGAAAAAATCAGCCAGAGGATGTATGAATATATAGATGCCAAAAAACTAGATGTCCTCTATAGGAAGACTGACAAAATGAAAGTAACACTTTAAAAATATTGGTGTGCCTACCTACAAACATGCCTATCTTATTTTCCCCCAGCCTCTCAGTATTCTTTTCTCCTCTAACATTTTGTTTTGATAAGTTTCAGACTCGTACAATAAACACCCATATTCCCTTCATCAAGACTGACCAATTGTTAACATTTTGCTACATTTGCTTTATCTCTCTTTTATAAATCAGTGAAAAGTTGCAGACATTATTACACTTCACTCCAAAATATTTCTACTCAAATGTGTCTCCTAAAAATAAGGACATTCTCCTATATCATTATTAAATTATCATTCCCATAATATTTAATATTGATTTAATATCATCTAACATACATTCCATATTCAAATTATCCTAAATGTTTCCAAAATGTCCTTTATAGATTTAAAAAAAAATTTTAGATCAAGAATACAAACAAGGATGACACACTGGTTGTCCTTCATCTTTAGCCTCCTTTAACTCAGAATAATTCCCCCAAGTTCATAGTATTGGCATATTTGAAGAGCCCAGACCAATTGATTGTGGAATGTCTCATGTTCTGGATTTCTTTGTTTCTTTATTGGATTCGATGAGGTTGTGTATTTCCCAATATATCGCATCAGGAAGCACATGATGTCATTGTTTCATTATGGAAGATGTTAATGTGTTGAAGTAGTGGTTACCACATTTCTAGATTAAGGTAGCATTTGCAAGATCTCTTAATTGAAACGTACCTTTTCCATTTGTAATTAAGAAGTAATGTGCTGGTGACACTTTTGAGACCGTCCGTATACATATCCTGCTTCCCAACATGTCACTAGTGGTCTTAATATTGATTCATAAACTTTACCTGAACTATTACTTTGTAGGTTGCAAAATGGTGAATTTCTAATTATATTATTCCTTCTACATATATCAGGTAATTCTCTTAATTTCAATGCATTATAATTCATTACTGTCATTGTTTCATTAGTCTTTTTGATGCTCAGATTATCTCAAAGGTGGCCGATGGGACTCCTTCAAACTGCTCCTGTATCTTTTTTTTTTTTTTTAAGATTTTATTTATTTATTTGACAGAGAGAGAACGTAAGTAGGCAGAGGCAGGCAGAGGGAGAGGGAGAAGCAGGCTCTCCACTGAGCAAGGAGCCCGACGTGGGGCTCGATCCCAGGACCATGACCTGAGCCGAAGGCAGACGCTTAACCAACTGAGCCACCCAGGCGCCCTACCTTAGTTCTCTTCAATGAGGATTAAATGAGAGAGTACCTGGGAAGCACTAAGAACAGTGAGTGCCCAGCACACCTGGCACTAGACACATGTTACCTCTTATGACTATTTAGATTACTACTTTTCTATGGTTCTGTAATTTAATCACTGCTCTGTCCTATTTGATTATGAAAGTCACTCATCTTTAAGGACCATTTTAATTGTGATTTGTTTGAAATTGTGCTGTCCAACCACAGCAGATCCTTCCTGTCTTGGTCTAAACATTCACAGCGGTGTAAAGAGACGGTCAATTGTGGACATGGTCCCTAAGGATTCGTTTAGCCTCTGACACAATGAGGACAGTATCTAATGCCAAATTTGCTGGTTCTAGGAAAGAGGCCCAGGGAATTACACACGAGTGTTCCCTGCTGTGCTAGGCACTTGGACATGGCTTTCTGAAAACCCCAAATTTCCTAGCAAGTCCTCCTTGACCTTTCTAGGGGATCCTGAATTTCAGACATGCATAGATATTTTCTCCTCAGCATGCGAGAATAGGCTACAATACCCTCATTCTATCACTATTTAGCTCTTTTAATCAATGATAATCAAGTACAGCACAAACTAATTTAACATATAATTTTAAAACAGTATGTTGTGGTTCATGGCAAATGGTCCCCAACTGCTTCAAAATTTAGAACTGATGGGACAGGGGCACCTGGGTGGCTCAGTCAGTTA